AAAGGATGACGACGAAAAAGAAGATGAAGACGAGGATATGCTAAAGAAAATGGAGGAGCTCAAGTCTCTAATGGATTCGAAAAGCAAGCAGGCGAAGAAGAAGGCTGCCAAGCGTAAACAGAAGGTACATATTGTTTGTCTATCTTTTGTTGTTGTGTATGTTGATGGGCCACAACACTGCAGCTAAACGCACGAAATAGAACAGGGATGCAAGTCGATGTCTTGGGAGACACTTATGGCGAGCGGGATCTGTTCTCTTTGGGCTCAATCAAGGTTTGTTTGTCCGCTTTCTCGTCTGTGCCTAGGAGCTCATGTTGGACACTTTTCCAGGCGAAGAAAAGCTTGGATCGGGTGGAAGATGCGGATGACGACATGTTGGACAGCGATGACAATGTGAAGGATGAAACGAGTAAGCAGGACATGGAGCGGAAGGATGACGAAGACAATGATGTGGATTCTGACGTCGAGCGCGAAAGGTAAGAACTACGCCTTGAAGTGTTAACGTAATCTCTCGCAGATACAACGACGAGCTGGAATCTTTCCTCGATCGTGCATACGAACGCTACCGGAGCAAGACTGAAAGCAACACTGCACGGCGGAAACGCGCAAGAATGGCTAACGCAGGAGACGAAAAGCTGTGGGAGGTAAGCCAAATGAAAGTGCTAGAACTTGCAAGCAGCTGACAATATCCTTAGGAGGACGTGGAAGAGAATGCTTCTGAGGAAGAAGAAAACGAAGTAGAAGAAGAGGAGGAGGAGGAGGCCAATCCTCTGGTCGTGTCGCTTCCCAAGGCCAAGCTCTCGAAGGAACAGATTGCACAGCAATGGTTCAGTCAAGACATCTTCGCCGGTTTAGATCAAACCCCGGAGACGGATACCAACAAGGACAAGACTGCCAAGGACGCTCCTCCGAGCGATGTCACGGTTGCGCCAGGAAAGCTCAAGAGAGCACGGGAAGACTTTGAGGTTGTAGCAGCCGAGCCGAGTGGTTCGTCCGACTCTTCCTCGGACGAAGAGGAGGACTACGACAGCGACGCCAAGGCAGAGATCCTCACTTACGCCAAGAAGATGCTGCGGAAGAAGGACAGAGACAGGATCATCGACGACGCCTACAACAAGTACATGTTCGACGACGAGGGGCTCCCGGAATGGTTCGCGGACGACGAGAAGCGGCACTGCAAGATTCAGAAGCCATTCACCAAGGAAGAGGTCCAGGCGATGAGGGCGCAGTTTAGAGCGATAGACGCCAGGCCCGTGAAGAAGGTTGCTGAGGCCAAGGCTCGCAAGAAGCGGAGGGTGATGAAGAAAATGGAGCAAGCACGAAGCAGAGCGGCGGCGATTGCCGATCAGCCGGACATCTCGAACAAGTCCAAGAACAGGATGATGGACAAGGTTTACAAGAAAGCGGCGGCGACGACCAATAAGCGTCCCAAGCGGGAGCTCGTTGTGGCGAAGAAGGGCGTGAGGGTCAAGGGTGGCAAAGGGAAGCTTGTGGTGGATCGTCGCATGAAGAAGGACTCACGATCCCGAGGAAGTGGCAAGCCTGGCAAAGGCGGTGGAAAAGGTGGTAAGACGGGTGGCAAAGGTGCGAGCAAAGGCAAACGTGGCAAGCCTGCGAACAGAGGCAAAGGTGGCAAGCCTGCGAGCAAAGGCAATGGTGGCGCCAAGCCCAGAAGATGATTATATTGTTTTACACTGATGGCAAATGGTGTTTTGTTAAAGTGAAAGGTTGTCACAGAAGCAATTTATTCTTTGAATGCATTCACACATGTTCATCAAGCAAAATCACATCAGATTCACCGTTTTGGGGCACAGTCCAACGCAGGAACCAGAAACGTTCGTCTTGCAGCAGTAGTGTTTCTTGGACAAGTCGCACAGCTGCAAACAGCTGCGAAATGCATTCTTGAGGCAGCAGAAGTAATTGACTTTGGGGTCGCAGAGTTGCAGGCAGCTGCCGACTCCATTCTTGAGGCAGCAGTAGTCCGACTCGCACTCCTGAAGACATGATCCGAAACCATCCTTCAGGCAGCAGTATGTATCTTGGAGGCCTACAGCATTAACGAACGGAGAAACCGTGGCGCATAATCAAAAGCTCCTGATCATACCGTGCTTCCAGGGAGCTGCTGGGTGACAACGTTGTTGAGACCAGGGCCAGCCTCGCTGCCTTCACGACGTCCCTCGACAATGACATTGTAATTCTCACTGGTGCTCTCCTTGTCAACCGCTACACATGGATTCCACAGATTAGGGAGCAAGAATCTTGAAATTGCAATGCAGAAGTTCGCACGTACGCTGAGTGTTGCGAGATGCATCGGCTGCCAAGAGCAGCAGGCCGAAGAGGAGGGAGGAAAGAACAAGCAATTTCGCCATTGAACTGAAACTTTAGAGCTACAATTTCAAGCTTGCATCTGTTTATATGCGCTGCTGCTGGGCAACGCCTGCATGCATCTCGTAATTAGCTACTATTTAGAAATGAAGGGAATGTCACTACTAGGATGATGGAAATCTACGCTGAATGAAACTTGTTAGTATGGCCTTATCCATCCATTGCAGTGACAATTTGCAGGACCAGAGTTAAAGTATCCTGGAGAGCAACAACCTGATATTGAATGGAAAAGCCTGCACAGAGAAGTACGGGAAAACTGGCATCCCTATTGGCCCGCTAACAGAGAGAGATATTTTGATTACTTAGAGGTTTAAATTAATTACACAGTAAAGTAGTCCCTTGAATATTCTAGCTCCACTTTTTGACGACCTTAGGGATAAAAATGGCGAGGAGCTGCGCGCACTTGCTCCTGGCAGCGATTGCCGTCCTGATTCAGGTAAACGCAAAGGAATGGCGAACAGGAACTCATCACCATCATCGCATGCAATCGCCGAGAAGAGGAGCCGCGCTGCCGCTTGCCTTGAAAGAAGGCTTCGCCTACACGGAGCACTACTTCCAGCAGACGCTGGATCACTTCAATGTGGGGAATATAACGCTCTTTCCCCAGCGCTATCTCCTGCACAATGCCTCGTGGAGTGGAGGTGCCAGTGGAGCTCCCATCTTCGTCTACTGTGGTAACGAGGGCGACATTGTGTGGTTTGCCGAGAACACTGGGTTTATGTTTGATATTGCTCCTCTCTTTGGAGCACTGCTCGTCTTCCCCGAGGTTGGTTTTTATTCTTTCTCGTTCTTCTTTCCTTCGATCAATCTCTCTCTCTCTCTCTCTCTCTTTTTCTGTGATTGTAGCACCGATTCTATGGAAAATCCCAGCCTTTTGGAGGCCAAAACGGTCCCAAGGAACTCGCATTTTGCTCTGCCGAGCAAGCTCTGGCCGATTTCGCGACGCTCATACTTGATCTCAAGAGGAATCTCTCGGCGCAAGCATCGCCAGTGGTGGTCTTTGGCGGTTCTTATGGTGGAAGTAAGGTGGTTTCAATGAGATTTTCTTTGGAGGTTCTCATAAGCTTTTTTCAGTGTTGGCTGCGTGGTTTCGGCTGAAGTATCCACACATTGCGATCGGAGCTCTCGCGTCGTCAGCACCAATACTACAGTTCGAGAACATTGTTCCATACACTACGTTCTATGACATCGTCTCGAACGCTTTCAAGGTTGGCATTGAAAGTTTTTCCGGGTTTTTGTAAGTGTTTTATCTCAGAGGGAGGGGGAGAAGTGCTTCGAGATCATACGCAATTCATGGACAGCAATCACGGAAGCTGCTGAACAGCAGAACGGGCTTCGCAATCTCAGCCAAGATTTTCATATGTGCAGGTAAGTAAATTTACCATTGTTTTCCATCTAGGAAAAACCAAAAAATCTTTTTGTTCTTGTAGCGATTTCAAAAACGCGGATGAGTTGATAAACTGGCTAGAGTCTGCGTACTCGTACCTCGCCATGGCCAACTATCCATATGCAGCTAATTTTACAATGCCACTTCCTGCGCATCCCGTTCGAAAGGTTTGCAAAACGAAAAAAAGAGTAAAAGAAGCCCTCTAAACTCATGTCTATTTCAGGTCTGCCAGGCAATGGTGAACTCTCCCGTGGCGTCAAGCATTCTTCAAAGAATATACGCGGGAGTGAATGTTTACTACAACTTTACAGGGGCCGCAAAATGCTTTGATCTTGACGATGATCCGCATGGTTTAAGCGGGTGGAACTGGCAGGTTTTTTCTTCTTTTTGTTTCCTTGTCAGATATAACTAGTCGTCTCTTCAGTCTTGCACCGAGATGGTTATGCCAATGAGCTCCAATTCCAATACAAGTATGTATCCTCCATTCGAGTGGGATGGCGAGGCCTGGAGCAGGTTTTGCTGGGAAAATTATGGTGCAATACCTCGGCCGAGCTGGGTGACAACGGAGTTTGGAGGCCATGTAAGTAAGACTTTTGTTTTTCGGTTAGCTGAATTGCATGCACCACTACAGGATATCAAGTCTGTGTTGAGAAACTTTGGAAGCAACATTGTCTTCTCGAATGGCTTGCTGGATCCTTGGAGCGGTGGAAGGCAAGCCATGAATGATTCTTTTCGTTTGTGTAGCTCACTCATCGATTTTGGTGGTGTGCAGTGTTCTGGAGAGCATATCGAGCACAATACTGGCGTTTGTCACGAAAGAAGGTAGAAACAAAAGCTTTTCTCACGCTTCCGGCTGCTCAGATGAAATGGAAAACGTGTTTCTTCAGGAGCCCATCACCTTGATTTTCGGTGGAGTAGAAAAGACGACCCGCAATGGCTCATTGAGCAGCGGGAGTCGGAAGTGAGGGAAATCAAACGCTGGCTGAGTGAGTACCATCAAAACGTCTTTGTCATTTGATAAACTGATACATAAACTGGAACTCGGATGATTAACTAAAACTATTTAATTATTAACTATTTGAAAGTGTGTATATATAAAATTTCTTTTACTTGGCATGGTGTAAAAATAGAATACAAAAATGTGCATATTTAACTATAGTTTATACACACAACAAAAATTTTCTTGAGCGATACACATCCTTTAGATTCCAAAATAAATAATTCGTAATTAGTAATCTAAATATGCATGTAAAAGGTCGGATTCGTAAGTTGCGAATCTACTAATCCCATTACATTCAATAATTTGTTGACGTAATGAGATCATCGACAAAAGCTTTAGCTTATTAATTACCTAGGCACACTCAATTCTTCACATTTTTCCTCGGTTGGCACTATCGGCCTCTTCGGAGGTCTTCTCGACCGCTTTCCCGCCGCCACCCACAACGGCGCCCTTGAGCGAGAAGGCCGCGTGACTCACAGCCTCGCCCACCGACTCGAGCAGTCCCTTGCCGTGCTCTCCGGCCTCTCCCGCTTTGGCCTTCATCGCCTCTTTGTGCTCCTCGGCTTTGCTCCTCGCCTCCTCCGCGCTGATTCCAGTGCGCTCCTTGAATGCCTCGGCGCTCTCTCCGGCGCGCTGGCTCAAGCTCTCGGACCTCTCCCCAGATCCAGCTTCCCCCGTCATGCCCGTTCTTTTCTTGAATTCCTCGACGCTCTCGCCGGCTCGCTGCTTGAGCTCCTCGGTCCGAGACCCCGTCTTCTCCTTTGCTTCTTCAACAGTCATGCCCGTCCGCCTCTTGAAATCCTCGGTGCTCTCCCCAGTTCGCTGCTTGAGCTCCTCCCCCTTCTGTTTCGCGGCTTCCACAGTCGACTCAGCCGACTCCTTAGCAGACTCGGCGGTCTCCTTGGTTTTCTCGGACGCAAGCCCCAACTTCTCGGAGAAAGCCTGGGTGATGTTTCCAATCGCTCCAAACAAGCCTTCCTTGGCTCCTCCAGCAGTCTCACTAGCTCGATCGGTACTGAGGGAAAAAGACAGCGTCAGGAAAAGAGAGGAGAAAACTAGGACAAACTTTAGAAAACAAACCTTTGTTGAGTAGTGCCTTTCGCACTATCTGCGCTCTGGCCAACCGTATCCTGAGAAATACAAAAGAAAGCAAGCTCGCTCAATACGAAACAATAGAAAGAATACAAAACAACATACCTTCGTCGCGTCTTGAGCACGGGCAGCCTTCTCGGCAGTGACATCCTTTGCTCGAGCAGCCGAATCATAGGTGGAATCTTTCGCCTGGCCAGCCTTCTCGGCAGTGACATCCTTTGCTCGGGCAGCCGAATCATATGTGGTATCTTTCGCCTGGCCAGCCTTCTCGGCAGTGACATCCTTTGCTCGGGCAGCCGAATCATATGTGGTATCTTTCGCCTGGCCAGCCTTCTCGGCAGCAACATCCTTGGCTCGAGCAGCCGTATCATAGGTGGAATCTTTCGCCTGGGCAGCCTTCTCAGCAGCGACATCCTTGGCTCGAACGCTGCTATCATAAACCGAATCCTTCGTCTGCCCAGCCTTCTCGAGAGTAGTATCTTTCGCTCGAGCAGCCGTATCATAAGTGGTATCCTTCGCCTGGCCAGCCTTCTCAGCCGCGGTATCCTTCGCTCGGACAGCCGAATCATAGGCAGAATCCTTTACCTGGCCAGCCTTCTCAGCCGTGACATCCTTGGCTCGCTCCACCGTGTCCTGCGCCGATTTGAAGGCCGAGTAGGCGGATTCCTGTACGGCCTCGCGGTAATGCGATAGCGCCTCGCTGATCGACTGCCCCGCCGTCTGCGTCGCCGTCGCCCCGTGCTCCCTCTTCTCCATGGCGCGCTCGGCGCTCGCGCGCGCCTCCTCGGCGGGGCTCGCGCGCTGCTCCTGCTGCTGATTCTTGCCCGACTCCATCGCACTAGATCAAAATCTGGGAAATGTGGGAGATTCTACGCACCGCCGCTATGGATCGATCAAGAAATCCTAGAAATCTCACCGCAAACAAAACAGCTGACCCTAAATGCAGTCGTGGTGCTCGCTCAAACGAACTGGAAATATATGGAAGCATAAGCGCCGCCAAGGCGAGGGACAAATGGAGTGATCGCAGGGCGACGCGTGGCGCCATGCAGTGACTGGGCGACGCGTGGCGAGAATACTCTCGAAGGGCGCCAGCATAGCATGCCATGAAGAAAAAGAATCTAGGGCTTCCGTGGCTATGCCGCAGGGCAAGGATAAAGGGCAAAAAAGTTGAGATGGACACGATGACCTTTTCTAGGACAGTGTCAAAATTTCTTTTTTCACTCCAGCGCAATGTTCTCTATCAGAGCAATGCTACTGCAACCTCGATCACCGACTTGATCCTCAATCACCGCTTTGATCGGTGGCTTCATTAGGGACTCGTACTGGGCAGATTTTCGTGAATCTCCGTAAGAAGGATTCTTGTTACCTACAGAATCCTCTCGTTCAAGTAACTGTTGAGGAAGATCCCAAGGAATATCAAACCTGTTTCACATTTACGGCTAACAAGGATATTCCACATTTAAAAGGGCAGGCTCCATTGGATTGATTCCCACGATGCTCCTCGCGGCATTTGCCCCGCGATCGCGATTGGACTGGCTCCTACACGCCGCGAGCAGGGATTTCCACTCTAGGGTACCGGCGGCGAAGGGCATGGTTGCGATGAGCTCCTCGGCGGCGCCCAGATGCCCCGCGCGGCCCAGGGCATCGATGATGCAGCAGAAATGCTGCTTGGTCGCCTCCAATCCGAAATCCATGGCCATGGAGACGAAGCAGCTCCTGGCGCTGTAGGCCCTGCCTAAATGGCTGCAGCCCAGGAGGATCGATGCAAAGCTCGATCGCTCGGGCTGGAAGAGAGCTTTCATCTCGCTGAAGATCTCCATTGCCGTGGAGTGATTCCCAGCCTGCGCGTGCCCGGCGAGCAGCGCGCTCCACGAGATCGCCCCTCGCTCTGGCATTTTATCGAACAAGTCCTTTGCTTCGTCCAGATGCCCTGACTCGGCATAAGCAGCCATGATCGTGGTCCAAGAAATTAGATCCCTTTCTCTCATAGTCCAGAACATCTCTTTGGCCTCGCTAATATTCATAGCGCGACAATAACCACTTAATATTACATTTAGAGACACTTGGTCTCTTTCTGGCATTCCTTGGTAAAGCTTTAGAGCATCCAGAAAATGCCCATTCAGGGCATAGCAAGAAACCATGGAATTCCAGCAAGCCAAAGTTTTATAACGCATATTGTCAAACACACACTTGGCATTCTCTGTGTAGCCATTTGTGGAGTAAGCCGTTAGGATCGAGCTGCACGCCACGCTATCAATCTCTGGCATTTGGCTGTAGAGATTCTCAGCCATTGTGATATCCCCCACTTGGGCATATCCAGTCAGCATGATCGTAAGTGCCACGTGGCTGTGTTGTGGCATCGCATTGAACAAATCAATGGCCCGATCGAGCTGCTCGGCAACAACGTATGCCGTGAGCATTGCCGTCCAGCATAGCATATTCCTCTCAGGCATAACTGCAAAGTGAAACTCTGCCTCCCGCACTTGCCCTATATGGGAATATGCATGGAGCAGTAAACTCCACGTCACCATGTTGTGCTGAGGCATCGTTTCAAATGCCAGGATCGCTTCGTGGAATTTCCCACTGTGGATAAACGCGGAGATTAAACCATTCCAAGATACTATGTCACGGTGCGGCATCTGATTAAACAGATTCTCGGCATCAGCAAGATGCCCGTTAAATGCATATGCCGACAGCATCGAATTCCAGGAAACTAAGTCCCTTTCGGGCATTTCATCAAATGTCCTTTTAGCATCTTCCGCGCATCCACTTTGTGAAAACGCGGACAACATCGAATTCCAAGTAGTCAGATCTTGCAAGGGCATTTCTTGGAAAACTTCCTGGGATCTATCTAGATACCCAGTTTGGGCATATGCAAAAAGCATACAGTTCCACGACACAATGTCCGGCGCGGGCATTTCAGAAAAAATAGATTCGATCTCTTCCAAGATCATAGCTCCTGCGTAAAGTCGCATCATGTTAGTGCATGAAACGAGATCCCTCTCCGGCATTGCATCGAAGAGTTGTTTCGCTTCCTCAAGATGCCCAGACTGGGCATATGCTCCGAACATCGAGCTCCACGCAATAAGGTTTTTCTCCGGCATCGCATCAAACACCGCTCTTGATGCTTGGAGGGATCCGTTCTTGGCAAAGGAAGAAAGCAAGAGAACCCACGAAAAACAATCCCATTCCACCATGCTATGGAAAATCTCTTCTGATTTATCTGGACTCCCACACCTCCCATACATTTCGATCAGCTTGTTCCACACAAAGAGATCCTTCGACTTGATACTACTGCTGGATTGGATCCAGCGAAGGACTCTAGCTGCGTCAGAGAGCGATCGACATTCCTGGATGGAAGTGAGAAGCTCAGTTCGATTCATTCAAGAAAGAGTATCACATAATTTCTCAGGAAGGAAGAACTAGAGGAAATGCTATACAGTAGTAGCAGTGACTGGATCTTGGAAGAACTAGGCTCTCTCGCCCCTAATCCTGCGAGCGAGCTGGATGTCCTTGGGCATGATCGTCACCCTCTTGGCATGGATCGCGCAAAGATTGGTGTCCTCAAACAGACCCACAAGATACGCCTCGGCCGCCTCCTGGAGCGCCATCACTGCCGAGCTCTGGAACCGCAGATCCGTCTTGAAATCCTGCGCAATCTCACGAACCAGCCTCTGGAAGGGCAGTTTGCGGATGAGCAGCTCCGTGCTCTTCTGGTACTTGCGGATCTCCCGCAGCGCGACTGTTCCTGGGCGATACCTGTGGGGCTTCTTCACTCCTCCTGTCGCTGGCGCCGATTTCCTGGCAGCCTTGGTAGCCAGCTGCTTCCTGGGCGCCTTGCCACCAGTGGATTTGCGAGCAGTCTGCTTGGTGCGAGCCATAGATTCGATCGATCGAGAGGAGAAGCAAGAACAAAGGAGCAACTCTAAGACGAAGACGAAGAACCCTAGCAGCGTTTGGTAGGAAGCTATGGCCTCTCCGTTTATACAAGAGCGCACGAACTCCCGCCCTAGAAGCGAGCGGGAAATTCGAAACAACTGAACGGCTGAGAGAACCCGCATCGGACGGCGGTAGGCTCGATCCCCGTCCTGCTCTGTGATTAGCTGCAGCGTCCGGGATCGCCACGTGTCAGATACTCGGCTTCTCACGTGGCCAGTCTGTATCACAAAGACTTCGGCGCAAGCTATGATCAAAGTTTATTCTTCTGATGATTTGCCTGAGTCAAAGAAGACGTGGAGAAACTATGGAGATTAAAATCACACGCTCCCAAGTGTCACCAACTTGGGATTTGATAAAGAATGGTTTTTTTTGTGGGCCTATGAACTGAGCTGTAAGCCAGGAAAATGTAGCGAAGCAAAGAAAGTAAACATCATCGTCCAAGCATAGGCATTTGGAGTGCACGTCTTTGATCGTGGTGGTCGGTGCTTTGATCGATCTTAGGGTACAAAAGTTTGCAGTGTGAAGTACAAGATCTCCAAATGTTTCCTCGCGAGGACCAATGCTTTAGAGAGAGGATATCTTGATCGGATTCGAGGGAGCCATGATTCCACTCATTATAGGACTGCTGGTATGGATGTTCTTGGGCGGTCAAATTGCCCAGTCTAGGGAATTGCTGCCAGGGGATTCGACTGGAATCAGGCTTAGAATCGTCCACCGATCGTCGGAAGAGTCTCCACACTGGAAGCCGGAGTACCGCGATCGGATCCAGCTGCTAGACGAGCTCATGGCGATGGATCGAGGGAGAATTGCGGCGTTTGGGAGAGTTCTCCAAGAAGCCGCGCAGAAGAATTCGACCAATTCGACGCTCCCACGAGAATCCACTGCCATGATCCAGGATTTTCAAGGAGAAGATCCCGCGCTCTTCTCGCGTCTCGTCTCTGGGAGCTCGATTGGATCCGGGCAGTACTTCGTGGAGCTCCGGGTCGGCACTCCAGCGAAGAAATTCCCTCTGATCATCGATACCGGCAGCGATCTCACATGGATCCAGTGCAATCCCCCCAACACCACCGCGAATTCATCGTCTCCACCTGCTCCATGGTATGACAAATCGTCCTCTTCTTCCTACAGAGAAATCCCTTGCACGGACGACGAATGCCTGTTCCTCCCAGCTCCAATTGGATCCAGCTGCTCGATCAAGAGCCCCAGTCCTTGCGACTACACCTATGGCTACAGCGATCAGTCCCGGACGACGGGAATCCTGGCCTACGAGACGATCTCCATGAAATCGCGCAAGAGATCCGGCAAAAGAGCTGGCAATCACAAGACCAGGACGATCCGGATAAAGAATGTGGCGCTTGGATGCAGCCGCGAGAGCGTGGGCGCGAGCTTCTTGGGCGCTTCCGGTGTTCTTGGATTAGGGCAGGGGCCCATCTCCCTGGCCACGCAAACGCGCCACACCGCACTCGGTGGAATATTCTCCTATTGTCTGGTGGACTACCTCCGTGGCTCAAACGCCAGCAGCTTTCTCGTCATGGGCCGTACGCGCTGGCGCAAACTGGCCCATACGCCAATCGTACGGAACCCGGCCGCCCAAAGCTTCTACTACGTCAACGTGACGGGCGTGGCCGTGGATGGGAAGCCAGTGGACGGCATCGCGAGCAGCGACTGGGGAATCGACGGTGATGGGAACAAGGGGACTATCTTTGATTCTGGGACAACTTTGAGCTACTTGAGAGAGCCGGCCTACTCCAAAGTTTTGGGAGCTCTAAATGCATCGATCTATCTCCCCAGGGCCCAGGAAATCCCGGAAGGATTCGAGCTGTGCTACAATGTGACGAGGATGGAGAAGGGGATGCCAAAGTTGGGAGTGGAGTTCCAGGGTGGTGCTGTGATGGAGCTGCCTTGGAATAACTACATGGTGCTTGTGGCAGAGAATGTCCAATGCGTGGCCCTCCAAAAGGTGACGACTACAAATGGATCAAACATTCTCGGGAATTTGCTCCAGCAGGATCATCATATTGAGTATGATCTTGCAAAAGCTAGGATTGGGTTCAAGTGGTCGCCTTGTCATTAATATACTTTGATTGCATGTATCAGTAAAGTACATTAGAGCTTTTGATGATATGAAAACAAGTTAAAGCTTTTGTAAAAAGAATAAAAATTAACATGACTAAAAAATACTTTATGCAAGTTAATCACAATCAGAATTATCATAGAGTATAATTTAATATTCTAAGATATAAATATTAGTATTAAACTCTCTCTCTCTCATGTCCCCACCAGGTTGCAAGTCTACGCCATTTTCCCACAACAACAGCATCATGGCATGTTGTAGCTCTAAATGGTTTCCCATCAGGCTGCAAGATTACACCATCTTCCCACAGCAAGAGTGTCATGGCGTGTTGTAGCTCCAAAAGGAGAAATGTTGCATTAATTAATCTAAACAATTTTTCTTCAAATAACTTAATAAGGGATATAGTCCAATCCATTAATTAAAGTATTAATTATAATTATGTTAACTTTAAACTTTACTACTTGGAATGATGTGAAATGGGAGTCTGCATTGCACTTTAAAGGCATAGTTAATTGATGGGCTTAAGTTTTATTTGATGTAGTGCCATTAATTATTGTTCCTTTTTGTCTATCTAGTTTCACAAATTTATTTATATGATATTGGATAGTCCAGATTATTTATATTAAACATAAGGATTATAAATACGAACCTTAACAATATATTTATGTTTTTGTTTGCTTATGTAGTAGTGGGTGGTAATGAATATACCTAGAATATGCTTGAATATTCTACCATCTAACGGTTGTTATTCATTTAGATTAATCTTGTATTTATAATTTATAAACATGTTTATAATTTATAAACTTTATTAAACCTTTTCTAGTATATTATTTTTTAGTCTATCATCTAATGGTTGATATGCAATAAAATTAATCTTGTGTTTATAAATTACAACATGTTTATAATTATAAACTTTATTTGATCAATTAGGCTAATAAGTAATAATAACACTACTATTAAGAAAACCAAGCATTGCTACATGTAACACATAGCAATTTATTTAAATTAGGTTTAATAAAAAAATCTGTAGATCTGAGATTGATAGCTTATTTTATTTAGTATTTCAATCTTAAGAGAATTATTACTTTATGAATTAAGTAGATTTAATAATTTTTTCCTATTTTAAATCTGACCATGCTTTCACCTATTTTTCTTTTTCATTTATATAGTCCAACAAAGTGCAAGGAGGTTAACAAGGGATTATTAAGTAGAAAAATTTCTCCCATAATTTATTTGGTCTTAATACCTCTTAATACAACCTAATCTACATTCATTTATTGATTAAAACAGTATTTAAAATTGAAAATTAAAGGTATAAAAGTGATAAGAAAATCATTGTATTGTGGTTTAATGTTTCCAACTAAATAAATTGTAGCATATTTAAATTTGGAGTTGAACTGCACTATGAAATAACAGTTTAGTATGCATTTAAATCCTCTATAAGCATTAACTCTCTATATTTAATTTCTATATTCAAAATGGTGTCAAAAGGAGTTTGATATAATTGCAATATACTGGTGGCTTAACACAAGGAGGTGGGTATCCCACTGACTAAAGTAACATAAAAATTAGGTTTAAACCGAATAACACAGCCTAATGGGAGTTAAAAAAATATCTCATATGCTTCCAACCAATATTCTTACTATACATTTGAAGCCTTTTATATCCCCTTTTCATATATAAAAACTTGTTTTAAACTTTCATTCTAGTCCCAAGAGTTAGTCTTAAAGATAAGCCTAAAAACTTACTAATTTAGAATAATGCTCAAGATATCTTTTATATTTCATAGATATGTCTTTCTAGACACTTTCCATAAATAGTACATAAGACTAAAGTGGCACATAAAACATGATAGCTAATAGATATAGTGGTTAAGTATAATCAACAAAAAACACATAAGAGTTCTTATTTTATTTTTATCTAGCTAAATACAGATGTTAAATCTAATTTACTACACTTGAAAAAATGAAACTAGTAATATCAATCTCTTGCTATCATAGTAGTAAGGAGATTGTCTGAAACGACTAGCCAACAAATATATTTTGATATTTAAAGTCACATTCACAACACAAATGACCCAAAACGTATAATAAAAATATAAAGAAAAGCCTAAAACCAAACTCTTAGTTTTTCTGAACTATCTCTAAGTAGCCCAATAAAATCCTAAAATATTTCTGAATTATCCAATTCTTGACCTCTAATCATTGCCAAATCTAACCCAAAAGATAAAAGCAAGAGTTGCACCTCTCTATGATCAATACACTTCTACTATAAAAGCCTAAATCTGCAAGAGAGATTAAGAGATCACCTACTGTGGTTGTGGATCATTGTCAAGCTCAAAGACTGAGATATTGTTCTAGGTTGAGTGTTAGAGTGAGGAGACAGCCCAAATAGATCAGAACAGAAGGCTTCCTATATTAATATAAAAAAACTGCCATGCCGACAAGATCACCACACTAATGCCTATATTCGTTTCCAATGTCCAAAACATCCACAAAATCCATTGTGGCTGGTATTACTATAATACTTAATGGCTAATTTATAGCCATAAATTCATAGAATTATATTGTCATATTACCAATCTTTAACTAGTCTGTATATATACAATATAGAATTAGGCTAATCTGGATTGCCATATCAACACAATATACATAGACCATCAATTAATTGTCTAAAGCTTCTCTTCTCTTTTGCCATTCTCTCATCAATGGGACTTGGCATGATATTGTTTGTTGATTTATTATCATTGATTTCCTTGTATGTTTAGGCACAAGCTAGCCAAGGGTTTTCTCAAGATCAAACAATGCCCGAAACACATTTGTGGAGTTTAATATTTATTGTTTTGATATTACATCATTAAATTAAGGTGGACCCTAAAAGGGTTTCAGTTAGTGGAGAAATCCAAGTGGGGAAATGGAAGAAATCCAGGATGTCTTGGCGTCGCTCACTGGCGTGCTCAGGCAAGACCAGCTCCTCTTCTCCGGCGATCACTGGGATTCTACAACTCAAGGATTAGCACAATCTGCGAGGAGGACACTAACGTCTTGACTCCAATCTTCTTCCAGGACAGTCGGGCAAAAGGTTTATTAGACTTTGTGAACAGTCATCGCTCACTTGCTCGCATAGCGCACCCGGATAAACTCCTTGAGCTTCTCGACTTGCGGCAGCGCCACTTTGGCCGAGGGATGCTCGGCCGCGGCCGCCAAGAGCTTGTGGAAACGCGGGCATTTCGCGGGCTTCAAGCCCATCACTTGCTCAACTCCTGGGATCCACACCGCATAGGGTGCCAGCAGCACATCCAAGAACGACATGCTCGCGCCACCAAAGAAGGGGCCCTCTTCCTCACTGCCCAGCTCCGCCAGAGCTCCCTCGAGAAGCAAACAGTTTTGGTTGAACTCCTCGTTCACGGCCGCGTCACCGTTACTACGCAAGAATCGCATCAAGGAGTCGAAAAGCTGTGTGATCGATAAGCAGGAAGAGTATAAAACCCGTAGCAGCAGATTTCTAGTAAGAGAATCCTACCTTTTTGTCGATGAAATCGCTCCAGAAGCGGTGCTGTGCGCGGAGGAATGCGTCCTGAGGCAAGAGTGGGCTAGTTTCGGGCCAGACCTCGTCGATGTAGTGGACAATGATGGCCGATTCCAGGATGGGCTTGCCCTTGTGGATGAGAACGGGGACCTTCTTGTGAACTGGATTGGATTCGAGCAGGATCTTGCTCTTGTTGCCAAGGTCTTGGGGGAGATCTTCGTGCTCGATGCCTTTGAGCACTAGTGCAAGCTTGACTCGCATGGTAAAGACGCTGGGCCAAGCGCTGAGCAGTGTCACCTCTTGATCGCGAGAAGCCATGGCTGGAAAATTGACAGGGAAAGTTGGAAATGCGAATGGAATGAGGTTTGATTGAATGAAGGGTCGCGTTTTATAATATAAAGAGCGTCCTACGTGAATTTCCGAGAAGGCAGAGGAGAAGGCTGAAGGTAACAGGCTTAAACTTTAAACAATCGATTGATTTTGACTTTGGTCCTTCCATGAGCCTGAAGCTTAGCCCATTCTTCACGGTGATCGTATCCAACAGCAAAGCTCAAGCCCTGCTAATTGTCTCATCCAGAAATTCTTGAAACACTTTATTGGCCTTTTATTTTTGCTTGTTTTTTGCAGTAACTTGTGATCTCGAATACGAGGGCCTCCTGTTAAAAGAGTATCAGCCCAAAGTCATCAAATTAAACCCAGCATGATCCTGTTCTTGAGGAAAAAATACCCCAGTAATTATCTCACTATCTGTGAAAGTATTTCTTGCTATTCTCTTTTTTACCTCACAGTATGGAAGCACTCTGGATATTTGCCTATGCTCTTATTGAAATTCCTGACCTGTGGTGAGTTTTAATGCTTGCTCAAACTTAGAATAACTGTGAGTGAGTTATTGTAAAGGTTAATAAGACTGGTAATTTTGTATGAAATAAAAATAATTAGAAGTATATGTTTTTAAAACCATCTCTAAAATTCTTTTATTTTTAATCTCAAGTCTTAAAAATCTGAAAATTTTAGATTCCTCATTAAACTTAGAGGGCTTATCCTCTTTGAAAGGAACTGTGGTTATAAATATAATAATACAGTTATAGAATTTTAGAATATGCTTTTTTATTTTAAAAATATCATACTAAATGTATTTTACTTGAAAAATAAGAACGTATAGAAATATCGATAAAATATAATAATTATTAAAATCTTTAAGAACATTGCTAGTGGTTATATTTTTTCAATGTGAAATTGTGTTCTCTACTTATGTATATTAAAAAAATATACTTTCGACTCTAAAAAAGTGTAACCATTTCACCTAAGCTGGAAGCACTATAGTTAGTTTTTTTTCGAGAGCGACAGTTGCTCTTGAGCACTTTCTTAAAGAGCCTTTTTAACACTCCTCAAACCCATGCTCACTCCCACCCAAAGCTACTCACCTCTAATCCCAACCCCAACTTGATCTCACACTTGATTTCATTCAATGAATTCTTTATTGTTCTAGTTGTGGTTTCATTAGAGAGTTGGTTCCTTACAGTCTGCTACACAACCACCTTCTTTCATCCTCTGTCCAATTTAGAAACTTGAAATCTAAATCTTCCTATGTGTTCTTTACATTCAAGTATTCCAGGAGACAAGTGCGATTGGCTCAAGTTCTTGGTTAATAAACCAAACTCATTTGTGCTTCTACAATGTGGTGGTGGTCAAGACACAATGGAAAACATAAAAGGCTTTTTGAGTGCTCACCACTTTCATGCTTCACTTCTACTTCTTGCCTTAAGTTTAAATTTGCATTAGATAGGTTATTTCATTTCATTTCATTTATTAAACATGACTTCCTCTTTAGCAAGTATGCCTCGGCTTTGCAAAGTATTAAGATGCATATGTCACCAATTGCCTCCATCTAGCATACATATTCATACTCACATCAACCTTGAATGTGCTAATGAAGAAACTAATCTCAGATGCTGACGGGATAATCAGCTTTATGGCACAGTTGAACGCAGAGCAGTGACGGAGAGTCACACGATTCAGATAGAAGTTTTTGGAAGTACTCGGTGAGAGACAATGGCAAGGCCGAGGTGGCCTTGCAGCTCTTTCGATCGATGCAACAGTGCTGTGGAGCAAACGCATGAACTTTTGCCACTGCGCTCCATGCTCCACTCTCTCAGCTGCTGAAGAATTGAGGTGAAAGTTTGTTTCGCTGCAACAAGGCAGCGAAGTTCATCGTCAAGCCCGAGACTGGGATGAGAACAGATCCTATCCTTTGCAATGTCTACGTGGGGAATGCTCTCATCGACATGTATGTGAAGTGCCAGGTGCTCAAGAGGTGTGATACCATTCGGTTTTATGCCAGATCAAGAAGATTTTTCTTGGCAACCTTTGCTCTCACAGTGAAAGATATCCGAGTGGAGCCAGCACTTTTGTGGCTGCTCAAGAATGCTAGCCCGGAAAGACAAGAGATAACTAAGCTCGTGAGACAACAGGACACTGATACGTTGAGCCAGCTCATGGCCCTGCTTGTCGGGGAGTTATCTTCAAAGAAGCACGTACTGGCTGCTTGCTCGCTCTAGTTGCGGAACAAGACATGGGCAAGGAAGGAGCTGCTGGATACGAGGCCTTCGACATGCTCAAAAAGCAAGGAGAAGCTGCCTCGGTGATAGCCAGGGTCTTTGCTCTTTGCAAGGACACGCCTCTTGCTCGTCAAGAACATCAACGAGGAGGAGCCAGGGAGGATCAACCTTGCTACTCAGGCAGCATTAGCTCTGGCTTTAATTAGTTTGTCTTCTGATTTCATTTGAATTTTTGAATTCGTTTCAACTCTTTTAAAATCGTTTCAATTTGTTTGTCTTTGTTTGTAACTCGCTTTTAGCTTACTTACGAATTGCACGCCATAGAGAGTACATTTGCTTTAGCATATAATAAGATATAAAAAGATGTTTATTACAAAAGAACAAAATGTTTAGAATTTGCTAGGTGCAGCTTAAAGATCTAATTAAATTATATTTATGTAAAATTTTTGTATGTTAAATCATCTTTAATTGAGATTTTTTCTATATGGATTTGCATGTAAATCTCCTCACTTGTGCTGGCCTTGAAATATGTTCTTTCGAGATCATTACAGTTAGAAGCTCACTAGGCTCACTAGCACAATGGGAAATTTTCAAAATGTATTGCACCACAAAAAACATATATGGATGATATATTTCCAATATTAAACATATGTGTTGTAATTGTGATTATATGCATTTGTATTAGTTTCATTAGCATTTTCAAGGTTTATATTTGTATAAACTTCATCAGCATGTGCTATGTTTATATTAGCATTGTCAAGATATGAAATAATTTTTGCATTAGCATCTTCAAAGTCTGCCCCATTCATGGCCCATTTCCAACCCCCCAAAGATGCGAGTGCATATTCTAGAACCCTGCTCAAAGTATTTCCAAGCCACGTGTTTTTGTTTGTCTTCAGTTGTCTTCGTTTTAATTTGTTTTAATTCATTTGTCTTCGTTTTAATTTGTTTTAATTCATTTGTCTTCGTTTTTAGCTTGCTTTACAAATTGCACACTATAAATTTCATTTCCTCATAATCTTATAAAGTTCTTTATCCTAATGAAGCATCTTTGAATTTTTTTTTTATATTTAGTCCAGTTGCTAATAGAATATATATATATATATATATATATATATATATATATATATATATATATATATATATATATATATATATATATATATATATATATATATATATATATATATATATATATATATATATATATATATATATATATATATATATATATATATATATATATTTACAAATACATATGACTAGTTAAAAAGGTTTTTAGTTTTATGACTATTTATCCTTTTTTGTTAGAAGTCACAATGACAATTTTTAACTTGATTATGACATTTAGGTTTTAATTAAATCTGGGAATGAAAAGTGGGATATTTTTAGGATCTGGATGCCCAAATTTGAAAATCACTTTCTTGATCCTGCCTAACTATTGTTTTGCATTCTGACCTTCAAAATAACACCCACTTTTTGCCCAACACTCCTATCCAAGAAAAATGTTTACATCCACTCACTTTCCTGAGGATAAAAAATGCTCAAATCTAGAGCTACTTTGCTGCTGGGTGGAGAAAGGAGAGGAGCTACATCTCCATCCCCTCAGTCAAAAGGCAAGGATCAAGCACATTGTCCAGTAAGTGCGCGCTCATCTTCACAAAAACCATTCAAATTAAAGCTAGAAAAGTCCTTTTAGTTAAACAGATCTGGTTGCAAATTCAATGAATCGATGGCAGCTGCAATTCCGACTGGTGAATGCCTAGAAGCCCTAGAATTGAGAAACCCCAGAAATGGGGCACTGCCCGAAATTCGTTCTCATTGCAGCTCTAGCTCAAGGGGGAAAAAAGAACTTCTGAGGTATGCATGCGATGATGGACGTGTCTGTTCCAGCTCCCAAGTGCAGAGGAAAGAAGAACACAACCCAGAAGAACTTCTAGAGGTATGCATTTTTCTCGGAGTAAATTCATGATCAAAATACAAACACAACATCCTTCACCTTGGTGATTATTATAGATTGTCCTCCATATCAGGAGCAAGCACCCCTACATCCAGTGCAATTTGCTGGTAAGCTGCAGTCGCTATAGCAGACTCTATCCCTGGTCACGCCATTACACACAACAGAAGTGTATGTGCACACTTGTGGACAGACTGCAAAAACAACAACCAATAGCAGTGATTGAGAGGATGAATCCAGAGAGAGATTTACCTTGCTTGAGTGTTCTAAACGCTACCGCCTGCTCAGGCAACATACCTGAAACCATTCACAGAAAGCTGTCAATGAAACGGCAAAAGAAAAGATTCATCAACAATATCTACCCTGAGAAACAGTGAGGAGCAGCAAGATGATCAGGCCTGTTGCTTCCATTGCTTACACCACATGCCCCTTGTAGCCCCGGTGAGACTTTATACATGCTCAGTCAAATAGAACTCAAGCTGATGATATCAAATAGAACTCAAACTCTTGTATAAGAATTTCAACAAAATCCTTCTAACAACCAAACCAAGCTTGTCAAAGTTACAAAAGTTTGACTGCTCATTTGTACATTAGTCGCCTGACTATTTCTTTCCTTCACAATTCAAGCATTTAGGAGATTTAAAAAAGAATTCAGAAACTATACAAAGCTTTGCTGATCCAAGCTGGTTTCTTCCTCTATAAGAAAAAGAAAGCTCAAAAAAAAAAAAAAAAAAAAACACTAAAGAAACACAGGAATTTCACCAGGAATACATTTGAAAATATTTAGAACGTATCAATTCTTATTAGGGCTTGCTCGAACGCGGAGTGGGATTTCCATCACTCGGCCATGGGATGCGCGTCCACACCCGGCGCCAAGCTCCACTGGAATCGATGCAGCAGATTCGCGAGGGCGAGCTGGATAGTGATCAATCCCAGCGCCATCCCAGGGCAGCCGCGCCGCCCCGATCCAAACGGAAGGAGCTCGAAATGCTTGCCGTGGACGTCAATGCTGGACCCCAGGAACCTCTCCGGGAGGAAATCGTCGGCGGATTTCCACAGGGCAGGGTCTCGGCCGATGGCATAGACATTGACGAAGAGCCGCGTGCCCTTGGCGATGGCGAGCCCTGCGACGGTGGTGTCTTGGGTGGATTGGTGGGGGATGAGGAGCGGCGCTTGGCGGATGGAGGCGGAAGGTCTCCTTGATCACTGCGTGGAGGTATGGTAGATCTTGTTAGCTCGTGTTCTTGGATGATTTCCTGGCGGGCATTGCCGAATTTCGCGCGTAATTCTTCCTGTGCTTTCTCCAGGGCTCTGGGATTGTTTAGCAGCTCCGCCATTGCCCATTGGATCGTGGTAATGGAGGTGTCTGTTCCAGCTCCCAAGAGATTCTAGACGAGAAGAAAGAGTAAGAACACAACATGGAAGAACTTCCAAGGTATGGATTTTTTCTTTCTTTCTTCTTTTAGAGTACCTGGATGAGTGCCTTGATGTTTCTAGCTTGATTGTTTGGATCTGGAGAGTCTAGAGACAAGAGTGTGTCGACGAAATCTCCATCTCCATCGTGAGCTTGAGTTTGCTCTCTGCTTTGCCTCGCAAGGACGTGCTGATCGACCACTTTTTGCAGGAACTCGTCCTGGATCTTGTGCAGGGCTTTCATCTTGGCGACGCTCGAGTCGAACCACCTGAGAAACGGGATGTAGTCGCCGATGTGGAACTCCCCGAGAAGAATGGTTCCTTGCTCTTGCATATGGATGAAGTCTCTGGTGGCCGCGAGCTCCTCCGTCGTCTCTCCGGATCCAAAGTAAGCCTTGTTCATCACCATCCGGGTGATGACGTTGAACGTAAACTCCGTCAGCAGATCTAGCAGCACGAAAGGTTCGCTCGTCTCCGCAACTTTTGCGATCTTCGCTAACAATCTCTGTAGCTCTTCCATCCTTGCCTGCTGCGATGAGGCGAGGCGACGGTCCGTCAGGAGTTCCACGACGCACAGCTTCCTCATGCTCCTCCAGTGCTCGCCGTATGGAGCAAAAACCATGTCCTTGGAGTCGTAGAGGATGTACTTCGTGGTGAGCAACGTCGGCCTCGACGCAAAGGTGAGATCCTGGTTTCTTAGAAACTCTCTCACCATCTCGTGGCTTGACGCGATCACCACGGGAACCGAGCCAAGCCGGAGCTTGACGAGGGGACCATACTTTCGAGCGATCGTGAGGAGAGAGTGGTGAGGGAGCGGTAAAGATGGCCGATGATCGGCAGTGGGGTGGCGAGTGATGGCGCTACTCTCAGGTAGAACACGCTCGAGAAGACAACCAAGATCAAGAGAATTGCAAAACCAACTAAGAACTCCATGGTCTCCAACGAGGTGAGCGTTCTTCTCTATTAAAGTTCCATTGTGGTACTCACTCTTTGTGCCATAGAGTTTGTTCCTCCTCGTATAGGGGCCTTGCGAATCTCATGGTATGCTTACTTGCGAATCTCATTCTATTCGTTATTTTTCAAGGAAATGCTCTTGATCATGGCTAAGCATCTATAATAATGATATAATAATGAGGTCTGATCTACCCAATGGCAGCCGTCAGATGGGAAGTAACTGTTAAAGGCTTATTTTCTTAATTACGTCTTAGTGAATAATTACATTAATGTTTGCTCTTAGCCAATGGGAGGTGGTCAACTGCCTAAACTAGAGAAGAAGGTGGTGTGACGTGGGTCACATGTAAACTGTTGACCAGCATTAACATTTAACCTTTTGCAATGGAGACTTATCATTTGGATCTGATAATTTCCTCTAATTCCCTTTAACAAATTTCATAATTTGCTTTGAGGAAACACATTTGTGGAATTTAATATTTATTGTTTTGATATTATTCTAATTTAATTTTCAATTTAACAAAATTATAACAATCAAAACAGTGTTTACTAACTAAGTAGACCATAACCAGTCATTAGATTAAAGGTGGACCCTAAAAGGGTTTCAGTTAAGTAAGCATTTAGGATCCCCCTCTTCTCTCCTCGCTAGAGGATTGCCAGGCGGGGAAGTAGAAGAAATCCAGGATCGCTCACTGGCGTGCTCAGGCAAGACCAGCTCCTCTTCTCCGGCGATCACTGGGATTCTGTAACTCAAGGATTAGCACAATCTGTGAGGAGGACACTAACGTCTTGACTCCAATCTTCTTCCAGGACAGTCGGGCAAAAGATTTATTAGATTTTGTAAACAATCATCGCTCACTTGCTCTCAAAGTGAACCCGAATAAACTTCTTGAGCTTCTCGACTTGCGGCAGCGCCACTTTGGCCGAGGGGTGCTCGGACGCGGCCGCCAAGAGCTTGTGGAAACGCGGGCATTTCGCGGGCTTCAAGCCCATCACTTGCTCAGCTCCTGGGATCCACACCGCATAGGGTGCCAGCAGCACATCCAAGAACGACATGCTCGCGCCACCAAAGAAGGGGCCCTCTTCCTCACTGCCCAGCTCCGCCAGAGCTCCCTCGATAAGCAAACAGTTTTGGTTGAACTCCTCGTTCACGGCCGCGTCACCGTTACTACGCAAGAATCGTATCCAGGAGTCGAAAAGCTGTGTGATCGATAAGCAGGAAGAGTATAAAACCCGTAGCAGCAGATTTCTAGTAAGAGAATCCATACCTTTTTGTCCATGAAATCGCTCCAGAAGCGGTGCTGTGCGCGGAGGAATGCGTCCTGAGGCAAGAGTGGGCTTGTTTCGGGCCAGACCTCGTCGATGTAGTGGACAATGATGGCCGATTCCAGGATGGGCTTGCCCTTGTGGATGAGAACGGGGACCTTCTTGTGAACTGGATTGGATTCGAGCAGGATCTTGCTCTTGTTGCCAAGGTCTTGGGGGAGATCTTCGTGCTCGATGCCTTTGAGCGCTAGTGCAAGCTTGACTCGCATGGAAAAGGGGCTGGGCCAAGCGCTGAGCAGTGTCACCTCTTGATCGCGAGAAGCCATGGCTGGAAAATTGACAAGGAAAGTTGGAAATGCGAATGGAATGAGGTTTGATTGAATGAAGGGTCGTGTTTTATAATATAAAGAGCGTGTTTAAGGTGGCTCCTACGTGAATTTCCGAGAAGGCAGAGGAGAAGGCTGAAGGTAACAGGCTTAAACTTTAAAAAATTGATTTGATTTTAACTCTGGTTCTTCCATGAGCCTGAAGCTTAGCCCATTCTTCAGGGTGATCGTATCCAACAACAAAGCTCAAGCTTAGGCATTGACAATTGTCTCATGGCACATCCAGAAATTCTTGGAACACTTTATTGGCTTTTTATTATTACTTGTTTTTTGCAGTAACTTACGATCTCTCCTGGAATTTGGTGGAGCCTCCTGTTAAGAGTATCAAGAGGTCAGGCATTATAACTTGCAAAATCATGAGTATGGTCCACCCAATGTTGCCCAAAGTCATCATTAAACTGAACATGATCTATTCTTGAGGAAATCATTTACTTCAAATGCTTGGTTTGCTTAAGAGTAGTGTTATTTTTATTTATTAATTTAATGAATCAAAATTGTAATTTATAATTATAATCATGCTCATAATTTATAAACACAAAATTAATTTTATTGAATATCAACCATTAGATGGTAAAGCAAAGCATTTCAGCCGTTGCATATACACAATTTTTGGAGGATCAACCTACTGAATGTCATGCCGAAACTCATAAACTTATGGTCTAACTTGCTACAACACCTAATATGATCCTTTCCATTGAGCAAAGAGCCCTTTATATAAATTACATATTGTAAGATAGAGAAAACAAATTAAATCAAGTCCTCAATTTTGTACTTCACATATGGCAATGATGAGAGTTGTAGCATCATTGTTATCCCACTTATACGCGGCTCAGGTGTTCGGTAGACTTTACTTAGACAAGTGGAAGAATGCTTGTCAAATATTGATCCAACAACATAGCATCGGTAGCCTGTGGCAATCGTGAAGGTAAACCCAACTTCGTTGATAGTATTGGATTATGACCATATAGGAGTTTATATCGTGAAACAATAACAGAACTCTGCACTCTTGTGACATATGCATATCGAAGAGATTGTAAATAACCATCCCAATCCGAATGCTAAAAGTTCACGTACTTTGCAATTATCTTTTTGAAGGTTCGAACAAGTTGTTCCACTAAACTGTCTAATTGTGAATGATAAGCACTTGTGAAAGTGTGGTATATCCCCAACTAAGATGTCAAAACTTGAAATGCCTTAGCCATAAATGCGGTACTATTATTCGAAAGAACCTGCTTTGGACAGAATTACTGGAACACCACTTCATTGAGGAGGAAGTATCTAACAGTGTTAACAAGAGCACTAACTTCCATCCAATAAATCAAATAGTCAGAAGCAATAATGACATATTTATTGTCAGCAGTTAGTTGTGGAAAAGGTCCCATCAAATTAAATGCCATCAATTTAAATGGACAAGAAACCACAATTGACTCTAACTGTCCTTCTGCAGCACCAAGGGGAGTATTACGAGCTTAACACTAAACACAGCTATGCATATATCAAATAACATCACGTCACATCTTTAGCCAATAGAAAGACTTACATGTAAGCAACCAAATTTTCCATTCTACTTTAGCCATTTAACCACTTGTGAGACATAAATCCTTGAGCCCCAAAGTGGAGACAAAAGGGTGCCACATGATAGTGGCCGAAGTGAAAGCCAAACGAGCATAACACATTTGGATTAAAAGTTTTGACTTGAAAAGTCGAGAGTGGGATTGGAACTCTCAATGGAGTGCTCAAGGAACGAGCACGAAGCAAGCAAAAAGTGAGTCTTTAGAAAAGGGACACAAAAAGACCAACACATGACTCGAGATATACCTAAGTTGGAGTCCAAGATGGACCTGAGATGGAGTCTGAAATGGAGTTCAAGATGGACCTGAGATGGAGTCCGAGATGGACCTGAGATGGAGTCCGAGATGGACCCAAGATGGAGTCCGAGATGGACCCGAGATGGAGTCCGAGATGGACTTGAGATGGAGTCTGAGGTCGAGTCCAAGATGGACTTGAGATGGAATTCGAGATCAAGACTGAGACTGAGACCGAGACCGAGATTGAGATTGAGACCGAGTTTGAGACCAAGTCCGAGACCCAATCGAAGTGCTTAGGCATGGTAGAAAGTGCAAAGCTACCCTCTTAGTCGGGAGGAGAATAACTAAAAGGAATGTATAAGGCCAAAAATAAATAATAAAGGGATAGAACTGTAGAAATTGAAGAGCATAGTCAAGGATGGTTATGCAAGTTGGGAGTGGAAAATCAAGTGGGTGCTCGAATGTATTGCTATTGGCAACCATGATGCCATGAAGAGTCTAAAATATGGAATTAATCATGTTAGACCATATGACAATGAGAAGGCTTGCCAAAGGAGAGGCCTTAGTAAGCTAAGGGACAAAGCCCCTTCAATGTTCCCAAAGACAACTCTAAATAAGTTAGCACCTAGAAAGACAAGTGTAAATGGTTCATCGGAATGCACAAAATCAAAGTGGCACAACAGAAGCGTAGTTTTGAAGCTTACTATAAAGCAAGGCTATCAAAGTTGGGGAATTAGTTCCCGAGTGTTCAAAAATATAACTTTGAACAAAATTCGATAGTTGAGGACTTACACACTTATACATAAAACCTTGTTACATTTGTTGGGTGATTTGCTAAGTGAGATTGACAAGTTAGGGGAATAAAGACCTTAATTGGGGTGGCCTATAATGCCGAGTATGGAAGAGTCCAATCATGATCACAGATCTGTCAAATGAAAGGATTTGGCAATTCGGAGGAATTAAGTTCTTAAGCTGTGATTCATAGTGTGCTTTGGGTATAAGTTGGTGCATCGGCGTAGGGAGTCATGATAGGATCCTAGGTGATGCCATCTATAGATGCATATATAAAGGTTGGTTCGAGTCCTAACGATTTAGTGCTTGGGTTCGAATCCCAACTCACTAGGGCATAGTGATGGTTTAGAATATGAGAACAATCATTTTTCGATGGTCATGGATTCTAAGTGAGGAGGTTGGCTTCAGTGCACTGCCAAGCAGGGGATTCCCCAGAGTTGTGATACACAATTAGATTGCTGTAAGTGACTAAAGTTTCCATTCTACTTTAGTCACTTAACCACACCTCTAGCCACTTGGAAGAGTTTCACTCATAGCCTCCATAAGTCTTATTCCAAACTTGGGGCTTGCTCCCCAAGAATGGCATCCTTACCACTCAACCTTTGCACTTGGTCCAAGTGCAAAATGTGTCCAATCCCATGACTGACACTCAAAGGTACCACCGACATATTAGTCTGTTATGCTAAAGCCATGCCTATTCACATTTGTCACACTAGTGATCCAACACCACTTATATCATAGTCCCGTCTCTCAAAGACTGGGCCATCCATTTATGAGTGATAATCACAGATCCACTCCTTAGCATCTTTAGAATGCCCACTGACATGGGGAACTGCC